TTCTATTCTAATGTAAATATGTCAGCGAGTATTTATCCCCCCCCCCCTCCCTCTCTAAACAAAAACCACCATTCAAATCCTCACAAAATAACCTATCGAACGGGGTCAAATGCCGTCAAAACATTACACAAACCAAAACAATCATACATTTACTCACGCTAGATTGCCCTTGCCAAATATTCTGAATTTCGTTTGGAGAAAAAAACTTGAATATCTTCTAAGTTTTTCGTTATTTTCCCCAAGTGACCAAGTCAATATGAATAAAATGCTCTTTGTATTCAAGGGTTAGGGTTTCATATTTTGCTTGCTATTACAAACAAAAACCAAACTAATACTTACTATTTAAAGTTTGTTCGTTCACTGCAACCAAGTATATCAATCATGTTTCGCTCGCTACTCTAGTTGAAATAAATTATTACAAAGCCCAGTCGGATTGTAATCAAAACCCAACGTTTCGACACTCCAGTCAGTAGTGTCTTCATCAGAGGTGATCTAAAGATACAATCGTGGCTTCTTAAACATGTGTGTGACACCAAACACGAGATATCGTGGGAAAACTCTAAAGTAATCACCACAAACAATCGCTATGGTCAAAGACTTTGCCTAGAAACGTGGCATATAAATATGAGTAATCATGCTTTGAATAGGGAGGACGGTGCCTATTTGCCAGAGGAATACATGCATCTCATTGGCAGGTGACATCATCCCTTGGGAATTTAAGAAGCGACGATATGATTGCATCTTTAGATCACCCCTGATGAAGACACTAGGCTGGAGTGTAATTCGACTGGGCTTTGTAATCATAAACCAGAGTAGCGAGCGAAACATGATTAATACTTACTATATATTACGGCTCTTCATAATTTGCCGCCATTTTGGATTTTGTTTAGCTGTTCCGGTGATATTCCGTTGTTCTAGTAGTCAGTGGTTTACTACATGCCGCGCAGTATAGGGAGATTCCCCCATGTAGTTTTACACAGTTTAACAAATGTGTGGGATGTTATCTTTATCCCGTGTATAGTGCGTGCGTTTCACGTGCACATGCAAAAGCCAAACTTTCACGGTTAACGTTGTGAATTTGACCCATAGCTCAGCGTGATTTCTTTGCATAATTATATGAATTTAAACAGGTGATCATAGTCTTAAAATTATGCTAGATTGTCTTACTAGAGCTTTATACACATGTTCGTTACAAAAGCATTAATTTTATATAACTAATATTTATATTTTTAGTGCTTCAATATTTTAGGTACCCATTTTTTGTATTCAAGTATTTTTGTATTCACAAAGTTTTCTGCATGCATATGATTATTATAGCCTCTAGAAATTTCAGCACTGAACGCTTGCTGAATGCTTAGGTAAGCGATTTTTTAAAAATTCTCTTTTACAGTTTTTCCGAAAAACTGAAAATCTATGCAGAACCCGAAGAATTGTTGCTTAATTTAAGGAATAGTATTCCCCTATAGTATAATTGGAAATCATAGTCGACCTATACAATTCGTAAAAGCAGCTAAACATTGATATTAACCATGGCCATCCAATAAAATTGCTGAGTCAAGCAGGCATGCATGATTAGATATAGCCCAGTTTATAACCCAGTTTCTGAATGACATCATTCATAAACAACACACCCCGCTTAGAAGCCGCCACTACACCCTGAAGACGCTGACAAGAAAACTTCACGAAGAGAAACCGAGCTTTGTTGCCTTTGTTGCCATTTATTGTCGTTTTGCACCTGTCTATTCATTTCAACTTTGTGGGCATGTGGCGCCATTGCTCATATGAGGGATAATTCATCAAATTCGAATTCATTGTTTCGTTTTTTTACCGTTTGGGTTGTTCAAACCTATTTCAAAATATATTTTACTTTTAATATATTTCACATACATGTTTCTCTGTGCTTCAGGAAATTGTTACTTTCGTTGTTTCAACTACCACTACGTAGTTATAATCTTAGCTTCGTGTAGATCACGCGCTTCAGTTAACGATCACAGCTTTTATTTGGGCACCGGCACTGCACGAGATGGATATTATATTTTATGTATTCAATGAAAATTTGACAACATAATTTACCTTCCCGCTTTTTATATATAGGATATGTGCGACTATGAGCGATGACCGATTCTTTTAATGTTTTCCTATAATATAAAAGTTGGTCAGTTTCATTTCAGAACAAGTATGTAGAAGGGTGCGATTACTTCGAATTCGGAATTAAATAGGGCATTTGAACAGGAAGGACTACAACTCATAACACATGAGTCATGGGCGAATCCATGGCCAATAATTAATTAAATGTCTTCCGATCGAGTTACGAGAAATTCAGACGTTCGCTTTGCTTTGACATTCGCCAGCCAAACTGCCGAATTTTTACATATAGCTTATAGAATATAGCCTAGTGGCGACATAAGTATGAGCTATACATGCCGGCATAGCTAGCCATAACCATGCATAGCTAGGTTATGGCATCATGCCATAACTCTAGCATTTCACCGAAACCGCGATTAGTCAGCTTTCAAACAAGCTTGAATCTGAGTAGAAGAACTCTTCCGAATGCTAAAACCCTTTCTCTTTCAGTAGCCAACGCGAATGTACAGCGAACGATTTTTGAGTTGAGAACTCTACTCACTTTTGTCTTAGAAAGTGCATTGAATTCGTAATCGTACGATGCCGATGGTGTTTTCTTTACTCGCTCTACTGCTCAAATTCCCTTACGTATCTGAGTGTACTGTATTATATATCTTATGATCTTTATAATATCGCTATAATGATGACTTTAACTCCTGACGGAGGGCCTTCGTTCGGAACGTCGAAATTAATTGTCCTTATATTTTCAGGTAGAATTGCACCCCTTCCAACAAAAGCTGGTTAATTTACACTATGTATAACAGTAGGAATTTTGCATAGGCAAATCTAATAGATTAACACTTGCTACGAGCAAACGATACAATAAATATAGACTTGTTCTAATTCCTGAGAACTTGTTGCGATTGTGTTTAGCTCACCGTCCTTATTACAAGATGATAACAACTTGTTCCATGCAGACTTGTCAACAGCAGTGGAACAAGCGATGCGAACACATCTTGTTGTCAGGCTGTGAGATTTTTACGCCTATACTTCAAACATCTCAGTTATCATGTGCTGAACCTAATGCAAGACATTGGTCAAACGAGGATGAGAGTTGATGATCATGACTGAGTTGCAATATAACTCTCGTTCGCGTTTGACCGCGAACTCTCATCACTGACTTTGAGCTGATTAAAATTTATACGTATATACGAAAATTCGCTATACGCACGCGGTAATATACAGTCAACTCCACTTTGATATTGACATGAATTAAGTAAACTTGACTTGATTCACAAATACCGATTCCACTCCGACACTATGTGGTAGAATATATAATCACCAACTTTATGCTGCGCTTTTGTCCAGAAACAGTTGGAAATTCAAATACCGAGAACATGACACGTTCGTGGGCGTTATGTTCATAAAATATGTATAAATAACATCCACTGTGAGTCAATTAAGACGTTTAAGAGAGCTAATGTTTTGCTACTTCGACCATTGTGCTTATAATTAGTCGACGTTTCTGAAGTCAATTGTTTCGGGTCTAGCTATTTTGCGGGCCGCGGGCTGCGGGTCAGTTTTTGCGGGCTGCGGGTCAGTTTTTGCGGACTGCGGGTTAAAACAATTGCGGGCCGCGGGCCAAATTGCTGGCCTAACTAATTTTTTGTTGCATGCCATATATGGCATGCAACTTTCATTGGTGAGCGTACCGGTCACATGGCAAATTCGTAAAATACGACAAATACCGAGTTTTTCCGACGAGCATTTCATCACTGGTGCTCGAGGAAGGGCAAAGAAAAATGTTTGAGTGTTCGCGGAAAATTTACATAATTGAGCGCCTTTAAAAATAGATCAAGGTAGATAAAGCTTTGCTGGTTTTAATTTTCCTTATATTCTGTTATTTGTTGTGATTCTGGAGCAGTTGTGCTCGCAATAAAATATTAATCATAAAATGAATGATTATTTATCAGTCGTTTTTAATATTTATATCGTGAAGCCTGGCTACGCTATCAAAATACTCAATTTTTTATATATGCTCAATATATACTATATTGTGTGCAAAACTTCAAAACTACAGTACATTTTGTAAATAACATGAAATATATTAAAATATCAAACAAAATTCTCATTATACTATTGAAATTTAATACAACGAAATAGTATTCTACGTCGATAATTTCAATCATAGTTTAATAATTATTTTCAATCTATAGTAATTCGCCGTTTCCATGTTTTTTTTTATACTTTCGATAAAGCTACAATAAAGCTAAATTTTTAGGAAATAACATTATTTAGTTATAAAATAGTATAAAAGGAAATCTAACAGTCAATCGCTTTCGATAAAACCTTGACCTTGTTTATATTACCGTCGTTTGCAACTAACGATGAACAGTCGCTCATAAAAACATTGCCTATTCGCGTGAGAATCTTAAGTTTTCTTATTTTGACATAATAGCTATTTTTCAATTAATATATTGATATTAAACTTATTGAATCATTATTTTAAGTTTCAAGCCAGTTGTACCAAAAGTTATAAGCGGTAGCGCATTATAACCAGGGCACAGAAAGGGTCATACAGAAGCCCAATTTCTTGGTTTTTCCTATGATTTTCCAATGATTTTGGTGGTTAGCACTTTTTTCCATCCAGCAAACCGCCCTATCGATTTTCTAAAGTCGTTTTTTTGCATTTTTTTATTAATTCGATTAGGGTTAGAGTTAGGGTTAGGGTTAGGGTTAGGGGTTAGAGTAGGGACTAGGTGTAGGGTTTGTGTTAGTTACATAGCCATTTAAAGGCCGCTTTCCACTTCAACCGTATCGTACACGCGTAAATCGATACTACGACATCTAGATCTATCTCTCACAATCCACAAAGCGAACCAAGAAGTACTTATTGTGTTGAGAACATCATAAACTGTGCAATTTAGTTCTATACGATGTCAACAGCTACACATCAAACTCAATCATCAAATATAAATCGATATCCTGAACTAAAACTATCGTGGTCTGGTGATTATGAATCGCTGAAATTGTTTGTTGATAGCGAACTAAATTTCGAAGGAACTTGGTCATCGATCGGTGGGGAGAAAAAGTTGTTTAAAAGCAAAAACGTTGATATCCATTGGTGGGCTAAAAAGAAGTTTCTTAGGATAGAGGGAAAACAGGCAAGTGAAGTTAAACGTTCAATTCTGATGTTGATTTTGCATGACATTGGTTCTGACGACCATAATATTCGCTCGTCTCATAACATGTGTAAATGCCCTGAAGTCAGTTCTGATATCGAAGGCGTTAAATTGGATGTCATTATCTTGGAATCAACAGTGAAACAACAGGCAAATACGCTTGTTAGTTTGCAGGAAACCTTGGCGAAATTAGAAGCATCAACAACCGATGCAAAATCTATACCGTTGGATCAACTAAGTAAATCTCCCTCCCAATAATACATCGGCTGAATGTGTTGTACAATGTACGAATTATAATAGCCCTATTGCGTCTGTGATTACACCTACTTGCTTGTATTTCTCGGACGAACCTGAGCAGAATAATACGGACAATATAATCGAAAAGCAGAATAATACGGACAGTATAGTCGAAACCTTAGTAGGAAAGTATTTGCCTAGTCATTCCAAGTCAAATGTTAAGAGTTGTTCAAATAATACACCAATTTTAAAGAACCCATGTCATGATCTGCACCACAATCCACAAGGCATTCAGGATCAATTAAATACTAGCCAAAGAATTGAGAAGGAATGTGTGGAGATTTGTCAATCTAATACTAACAAAAGATACTTACACTACCATGGCCAACATAATGAATGTAGTCCCCATTGTCTAGATCTCACAGTAATTAATCCCAGTAATAGTGGAATTATTACAGATGATACAACTCCTATGAATAATTATCAATCTATTCCAACCCGCATCACCCAGCGAAAACCATCTAGGAAACATAATAAACGTAACAAAAATTCGGGAAAGGATTTTCGTGCACGTACAATGTTGAGAGACAAAATGAACTTTTACAAATATTATTATTAGACGAGGCCGGGGGTAAATCGTCTTCCGGGATGGAAAGTGAATTGGAAAGCTTACTTGAACATTGTTTATATAATAATAACCAGGAAAATGTCAACCCAAACCTCATCTGTCGTAAGAGAATCAAGTCAAGCAATTTAATTCATGTATCTGTGAACCCCGAAGTTAATAGTAAAACCGTGTCTTGTTCGTCGCATTTTGTACCTGCTATATTATTGTCAAACACTATGTCGCTAGCCCCGAAAATCGATGAAATTGCTGTATTTCTTACTTCGAATCATATAGATATTGCCTTTTTCAGCGAAACATGGTTAAAAGAATCCGTTCCAGATGAAGCTATTAATATTACAAATTACCAATTATTCAGGCGTGATCGTCAACACAAATCCCATGGTGGGGTTTGTTTTTATATTAACAATACCATTTCTTGCAACCGCCTAACGGAGTTAGATAGTGATAATCACGAAGTATTGTGGCTAGCTTTACAACCAAAACGACTCCAACGAAATTACTCAAATATGATAATAGCTGTTGTGTACCACCCTCCAGATGCCGATTGTACAAGTATGCGTGACTATGTCCAATCTTCATTAGAATATATTGAATCTTCAATTCCTAACCCTGCAATCATTATTGCTGGTGATTTCAACAAATTGGACTTACAGGCTACTGTTAAACCTTTTCAACTAAAACCAGTAATTGATTTTCCCACCAGAGGTGCCAATATTCTTGACCAAATTTATACCAATCTATTTGAATACTATTCACCTCCTACTAGTGCTCCTCCATTTGGCTTATCAGACCATCTAACAATTGCCATGTGTCCTGGAACGAGGAAAAGATCGCACGAATCACAATCGCGTATTGTTAAAACAAGAGACAAGCGACCCAGTAATATTAGAAGTCTTGGTCGATTTCTCGAGGAAATTCCATGGGACATTTTATCGTCCATACCCTCAAATGATCAAAAACTATACTTTTTAACTAGCATTATAAACTATGGTTTGAACTCAATTATGCCTGAACGTTCAATAAAAGTCCACCCTAATGATCGACCATGGGTTAATAGCAATCTGAAATCACTGATAAATCGTCGACAAAAAGCCTTTGCATCTGGTAATGTCACTCTTTTTAAAATGTTACGTAATAAAGTTAATCGTGAACGAAAACGTTGTCGTAAGAGTTATTATCAATCTAAAGTTCATAATTTACGTAACACTAACCCCCGAGATTGGTGGCGGGAAGTGAAGCAGTTGTGTGGCACATCTAAACTAAACAGCAAAAGTGTAAAAGACCGCCTCCATCAAGATTTATGGCAGGAGACAGACATAAACCTCAGTAATAAAATTAACAATGTTTTTATAAATGTGATACAGAACTATGTTCCATTATCTGAAGATACGGCTGTAATTGTACACAACGATGAAACGCCTATTATTGTGACCGAGTCAACTATAGCTAGAAAATTGCAAGAAATTAATACATCGCGTTCCAGTGGCCCTGACGGTATTTCCAATTGGGTTTAAAAACCTATTCGGATATTCTCGCCTCACCAGTTGCAAATATAATCAATTCTTCCTTTCAAAGCTGTAAAGTCCCTCAAATTTGGAAGCTGGCCGATGTGGTCCCCTTACCAAAAACATCTACTGTCAAAGACTTGGAAAGGGAATTACGACCTATTTCCTTAACATCCACTCTATCAAAGATAGCGGAACGTCTTGTAATCGAAAGAGAAGTAAAACCAACTCTGTTAAAGGTTGTTGATCCCCAACAATTTGGCTTTATTCCAAATTCTTCCACTGTACTTGCCTTGATATCGATGCTCCATTGTTGGTTGAGTGCAACAGATGGAAGTGGTTCATCTGTTCGCACTGTATTTCTTGACTATAAAAAAGCATTTGACATGGTAGATCACACCACATTAGTTGCGAAATTATTTAGCCTTGGTATTAAGCCCTGTGTGGTTAACTGGATTATTGACTTTTTACGTAATAGATGGCAAAGGGTCAAACTAAGTGATAATTGTTTCTCAGACTGG